ATTCCACGTGGAATGAACCAACTTTAATGGACACATTCCAGGATGGATTGTCTGAGGCCTTGCAGGATGAACTGGCAAGGGTGGACAGGCCACCGACGTTCGACGCATTGGTCCACCTGTGCCTCCGGACAGACGCCCGGCTGCAGAGGCGAAGGCCTCACCGTGTATTCCAGGAGACCACCAGCATGCCGGTTCAGCAAGGGACTGCAGTGGACTGGGAGGAGCCCATGGAGTTGGGTGCTGTCAAACCTAGAGTGTCACGTACTGAGATGGACAGACAACGTGCTGAGGGATTGTGCTTCTACTGTGGGGACCTTGGACACCTGGCAGGGAGTTGCCCCAAGAAGAACAGAAGGGTTGCGCGGACTGCAGCCGTCCCTCAGCAACACACTATCATGTCAGACAACCAGCACATTTGTGCGGCCGTGATACCCCGTTCGCACAAAGTAGCGTGCATTTGGGGTGTGTGGAATCCCAGGGCGGATGCCCTGCCTAGTAAAGTAGAGAACTCTGACCCTACGAACTCGCTTCCACCTCAGACTGTTCTACCCATTGCATCCTGCGCTGCCGTTTGTCATCCCGTGAGCATGCAGTCTCTGATATGGGATGCGCAGCGGGGTGATGACTGGGTGGAGCAACGAAAGGTGGAAGTAGTGCCGGTGTCCCTATGGACTTTGTATGGGGATCTTTTGAAGTATAGGGGCCGGTTCTATGTTCCCGCAGGGCACATCCGTCGACGGGTATTCTCGCAGGTTCATGGCACTCCTGCATCGAGGGGATTTTTTTTAACCATCTCAATATTGAAAATCATGCGTAATATTCTTTTCATTTCATCAGGTAAACTAATGTAAAACGATGTTAATGTTAGGATCATCAATTGTAAAAATTAAACACTTTTTATCTATTTAATTATCTTTTTCTCCACAAACTAACCAAGACTTATGTCAATAGCGATCCAAATCAGAGACAAATGAAAGTCACTCATCACTCTGTAATATTGTGAATGTTCAGAAGATAGGATGGAGATGGTTCTCCAAAAGGACTAAAATTTAGAAATATTTCTAGCAGAACTAGTTTCAGCCCAGTAACCAAGTTGCAGATTATTTCAGTCATTAAAACAAATACATAATACATGGAAGAGGATTTTTAATAAGTGATTCACAAAAACTGTTCTAAACTGTGTCATCCTCTATCTTCTATTGAATCTCAATATACAATTATAAAAATATAGAAATGACCTGGCAAAGGAAACTACAACTATCAGTACTTTCAAGAAAATTTGGTATTCAAGTCATGAACTGAGGATTGAAGAGGAAAATAATGTGGGTTTCTTTAAGGTTTGATTTTTCTTATAATTTGGATTTGAATCTGTCCTAGAAAATGAGACAAAAGTGAGATGCTGTGGAAATCAAAAGGATTCAAGAAATTAGTCAATATATCCAGAGCCCTGCAATATAAGAGGCAAACAGATTGGTAGAAAACCCATTGAAGACAGCCTGGGAGACAGCAAATAGATTGGGGTCAGGGCCAGCCAGAGATGGCATTTGCAGGAACTATTCAAAATTTCTGCTACCAGTTCGCCAGAAGCGGTCAGAACTGGCTGAATATCACTTCTGACACATTCCATGCTGGGCAAAGCAATATGACTCTACCTTGTGGACACACTAGAGGCATCTGTATGTTCACTGTAAATCTGAAATGGATCCTGTCTGATTCAGGAGAACTTTTCTTACCATCTTAAACTGGAATTTGCAAAGAGACCTAATTCACAGTTAGAAACCTATTACTGATTACCAGATTATCAGAAATATGTGTGGTTGGAAAGCAGGATACTTGCCATGAGTCCATGTTCCTAGCACCCAAGTAGTCTCATTTTTCGCCCTCCCTCATCCCTTGTTTAGACCTGAATGAATACATAGCTTCTAATGCTCTGGGCTGTTCTGGCACTCCAATAGGTGTGGTGAAAATTCATACACAATGTGGTTGGAGCTTGGTTTGTATTGCTTCCATCACACAATCTCTCTCAACACATACACTGTAATCCACTGTCTAACAGTGGGGTTAATTGCTCAAATAGTTTATTTAAAAGTATTGCTGAACACCAAATTCCTTTGTATGACTTTCATGGACTTCCCCTTGGCAAAATTTATTGAGTACAAAGGAAAAGGAGTTAAATGAATTCCAGTTATTTAACCATTACCCACTTAGAAACATGTATATCTGATATTGTTTCACTCCTGCATATACAGTTTGAATAAACAAAATTAATATTTTCAGTCAAATACAATGAACTTTTTATCCTTGCAACATCTTAATGGA